CCTGAAATTCAATTGGTTTGCGCCACGATAAAGTCATGTGACCGGAAAATTTTTTGTGGTATAATTACATAGGTTCAATTTTTCTGCGCAGTCACGTGACATCTGATAAGCGATGATCAATTTTCATATAAATTATAATTTATACGTGCATACTTTTTTTTAACTTTTTTATGTAACTTATCATCAACGTAATAAATACGTAATGTTTCAGTTTTTAATACTTTTACGTATTACAATGCAAATTTTTTGCATTCATATAAATAGCAATGAGAAAAAATATTTTTTTCTTTTGCAAAACGTTAGAAAAAATTAAACCATGGATGAACCCGATGAAAATGAACATGATATGGGTAAACCCAATATAAATGAACCTAATATAATGCCCGATATAAATAAACCTGATGCGTATAAATGAAAGTAATACATTAAAAAAATGTACAAAATGCCGAAAGGCTTTGCCCATAAATCAATTTATTAAAAAAAACCTTACTTTAAAATCTTGTGAATCTTGCCGTCAACAATCTTCAGTTTACTATAAAGCTTCAATTGAACATGACGAAAATGAAGTATTACTTCCTGAGAAAATGGCTGAAGAAATTTTTAATAAAATTTCACTAGTTGGATCTGATGAATTTTTCGAAAATGAATTGAATGGAATTAATTTTAAATCAAACATTGTGTTAGACGGATTTAAAGACGAAGATGATACACCTCAAGAAATTGCAAAAAAAATTGCAAATTTGATAAGTGATAGCGATGGCTATTATTACATTTATTTCAATTACTATAGTTCAAAAAAAAATAATGACCTATATACATTTCAATATCGATGTTCTCAATGTCGAAGTTTAGCAAAAAAACCTCGTAAGCATCAAGATCTTGAATGTCAAAGAGACCGTGAATCAATTGAACGTTTTGATTGTAGTGGAACACTCAGAATTTCTATAAATATGATAGATAACCATGCATCTATTTACCTTAAACATGAGATTCTTCACAAACGACCTAAAAGAAATAGAGTTACAGAAGAAATCAAAAATGAAATTAAAGCCAACCTTCATTTAATGCCAAGCGACATTTATAGAAGATTAGAGCATAATTACCCTGAAATAACACAAAAGCAAATTCACGCATGGTGGACAACATTTATTAAAAAAAAATTTGTTCGAGATATTGATCAAATAAAATCATCAAAAATTCTTTTAGAAGAGTATAAATATCAAATCGTTATGTATAATATCAATGGAATTAGTTTTTTAGGTTTTGTCACGCCATTTTAAAAAAAATCAAGAAATTTTCGTAGACGCAACCTATAAAACTAATAAATTAGGACATGAGCTTTATTCAATAATTGGTCAATATGACGGGGCAGGCTTTGCGTTAGCATACTTATTTGTTAAAGGAGGTAAACAGGATGGTGCACGAACTGAAATTTTGGTTGATTTTTTCAAGATCTTATTGTATTTGGGAATGGACCAACTTATTTGTATGTATACGGATAAAGATCTTGCTCAGATATCAGCTATACGAAAAGTGTGGCCTAATATTAAAATTCAAGTTTGCTACTGGCACTTCAAAAAAGCTCTTAAAAAACGATTAGCAGATAATACTTTACCTCAAAGAATAATATATAGCTCATATGACGCACATAGCACGTTTAGCTTTATTGATATTGAATTTTATCCTGAATTACCTGAAAACAGGTCTAAGGCAAGAAATAATTTTATGTTTTGTCCCAAAAACCTGCGACCAAGAATAATCTCAATGATGGAACATCATATGCATTTGCATTCGCTTATTCCTAATTCGGAAGGAACTTTTATAACACAAGAAGAAATCTGGAAATATTGTACAAAAGAAATGTATGAATTCTGTGTCACTAACAATCTTAAGCACCTTTGGTCATATATGTGGCAAAATTGGTATCGTGGCGAACTTTGGCCTTTGTGGGCACGTTCATCAATATCTGATCGAATTTGTATCTTTCGTACTACGATGCTAATTGAGTCCCATTGGAAGGTTATAAAGCGTGATTTTTTGCCAAAGTTTTTTAGACCATGATTAGATCTTGTAATTTACATTCTTATTGCACAACTTACACCACATCATCAGCAACAGTATTACAAATATTATTCTGGTCGTGAGATGCCTTCATGGCGCAAAGAATTTAAAAAAGAATTTAAAAAAGAATGGGGCATATTGACAAAAAAAAAACTTAATAATACTTACTTGACTAATGTTGAAAACTGGTTTTGCAATTGTACTAGATTTTTACTGAACCGATTTTTTTTATGCAAACACCTCATTCAATTGTCTTCTTTTATTGCTAATCCATCCTTTTTTCGTAATGTTCAACGTGAGAGGTACATATCCATTTATAACTTTACTACTCAAGAAACTTCTTCAATTCGTAGACCATTATTATCAGTAACAAACAATTTATCAACAATGTCATCGAATTATGCATCTAATAATTCATTAGCTGGTACGTAAAAAATATGTTAATATAGTTAAAGTTTTTTAATTATACTTAATCAATTTTAATTATTTATTTATGTTAAAAGATGTCACTGCAGTAACAGATAATGATAATTCTGATCAACTTTTTGAAAATTACGAGTCAATTTTACAAGATGCACTTTTAATCGTACAAGAACAACGTAAAGCCAACAATATTAAATGGGCACAAGCTGTTGAGAAAAGCTTTGAAGGAATTAGTACCATGGTAACGGATATTAAGAAATATAAGCGAAGAATAACGAATCCAAGAACATGGAAAGACCATAATAAGTATACCATGTTCTTGTAATTTTATAAAAGATCAATTAAGGTAAAAATTTATTACATATATAATCAATTAACATTAAAATTAGTTTTATAGTCAAATAATACATATATATATATTATATAGGCTGTGCGTTTGAGCTTTAAAGTGCAAAATCTCATTCAAAAAATTCATAATCGTCAAATAAATCATGTAAAAGTTTTGCGAATACACAAATTATGAGTAAATTGATTGATTTACTCTTTAGTATCAATATAAATAAAATGAATTTTATTGCTAGTTAATTTTAGAAATTTTAGATAAAATATAATTCTTACAAAAAAAAAAAATTACATATTTAATCGTACAAGCAGTATATACTGTATTTCGGTTCGATATAAAACTAGTGTGCATATATTATGCTTTAAAATAAAATATAACCCGGTTAAAAAATTAAATTCAATATACTTAATAGATGTTATTTAAAATTTATTTTATTTATTGTTCACTTGAAAT